ATGTATATAGTAAACTTGGACTTTTTTTATATTGTAGCCAAATGTTATGAAAAAGAATTCATCGTAGATTTAGAAGAAGAATATAGTGGGCATATTGAGGAATAAAGTAGCTACGGGTTTTGGAGCAAAGGAAGTCCTGACCTCTGGTCCTGGCTTACAACTGATCTACTGTTTGGCTGTGAAAAATTCTCTCAAGCTCCAACTCCTTTTTACTCCAACTGTAAAACTTTAATATTTGACCAGTCTGTGGTGAATATGTTGATAAATTTTCAGTCTATGAAGTGCTGTAAAATTGCTGATTGAGGCATTTGATAATGAATTGCAGCTGTAGTCATCTTATTAAAAAGGCTAATGAAATAGTTTTGGTTTGGAAGGAAAGATTGGTCTGCTACCCAGCCTATTCCTTAAAATAACATTGTGGGAATATGCCATTGTCAAATCATTGATTATTGTAAAAAATTAACTATATTATATCGTTAAAGACTTACAAATTATTTTACCACCTCAGAAAAAGGTGTGGAACTCCTGGGCAGCTTTCCAGAAGCAATCTCATGTGTTTGAAACTGTCACAATCCACACTGACTCATGGTCTTCATTAACTGTCGCTGCTGTAGTTTAACTGTAGTTATACTGTTAGCCATAGACCTTTAAGACTGCCTATGTGTATTTTAAATAATGTATTTGTGAAATTGTGTTTAGCTGTATTCCTAGCCATCATGTTTACAGTTTGCAGCCTGGCTGTTCCCCAGAGCGTCAAACTTCCTCCCCGTCCCTCCTCCCCCTGTCGGATATGTGTGTGTTTGTGTTCCTTGAAAAGTGTCCAAGTGCAAACATTTTTTTTCCTTAAATTAAACTGATATTTGAGCTATCTGCAGGTGTATTTAGCTGGGAGTTGTACCTCAGCAGAAGGGATTATGGCTTATTTTTGCTTTGCTGATGGTATGTTCTAGAACAGATCCAAGATGAATATTGGTTGAAGCCTTAGCAGTAAAATACTTGACCTGTTTTAGATCACGTAGTTCTTTCTCTTTCAGTTACATTTATAGGAAGTTTTAATTTCACTCATTTGAAGTTATCTTCATTCAGCTATTAGATACCTGAAGGCACACTTAACCCAGTCAGCAGCTGAGCGAGGATTTAGTCCGGTCAGTACCTGTTTTGGCAACTGAACTTGCTCCTTTGCTCCACTGACACGGGCAGGTCCCTTCTGTGCACTGGGAATCCTCTGGTGGAAAGAACTGAGAGGGGTTGTGAGTCAGGGCCTTTGCAGAGGGGAAGTGCGTGGGCTGATCGCAGATGATTCACAACAGGGTCAGAATTATTTCAGATATCACGGCCCTTCGCTTATTTAAGGAAGCTGCATGGAAGGAGGTGCAGGAGGAAACAGAAACAGCAACGGTGGTATCCCCCCCAAATCTTGTTTGAAAACTGCACTGCTCTAGGGGGAGTGTATACTAATAGGATAAATACAATCCCCTAAACATTTTCAAGTTGGGAATGTTTTGTCGGGCAGTAATTCCGCAACAATATGTACTCAGAAGCCTTTAAAACTGCCTAAACTAGATCTTCGTATGGACAAGCACCCAGTGGGATGCTGTCTTAGTCTAGAATAAACTAAGACTGTTTCTGGTTTGGAAAGAATATGCTTTCCAGGGATGATGACGAGTGCCTTTGCCTAAGCAGTAAAAAAATGGTATCAGAAGATTAATACTGGACTAGAATATAACGTAAAAAGAGAAACTGTAATCCAGCATTTCAGAAAGTGTACAGTAGCCTCCTCACTTCTAAAAGGAAATATTAGCCTGGTTAGAAGCTGGGATGATTCAGTATAGCTAACATAATCTTGTTTTCTGTCGTGCAGCATATGAAACTTTTGTCTAGAGTTGCAATTGGTGCTTTTCAGTGAAATAAGCACATTAATTCCAATGCATGGCAAGGTTCATTTTTAGTTAGAAAATCTCTCTTTTTGCAATTCACTGTAATGGATTTCTAGGACAACTCATGTGACGCTTTGAACAGACTGATGAAAGCAGTGCTCTTCAGCAGTGTTATGTAGTACTGTGTGCTAAACATGTAACGTGAATCACTTCTTGCAGGTGTGTATAGATATCAGACCAATGTATAGATTTGCAACAGCAATTCTGTTTTTATTTAGCAGTGAACAGATTTAGTTTTAGAAGGAATTCAGTTCTGGTGCATTTAATGACTATTACTGCAATTTCTGATTTCTAAGTAATTCACCTACTTGTATAAAAAGTTGTTGTTTTCTGAATACCTTCTGCCTTTTGGAGTGAAGTTTTAGGATTTGCTTTTTTAAGTCAACATATTTTACATTTGGTAGTTAAAACAGGCCTGTTCTATGTTTTGTCCCTCTGGATAAGAAATTACTTTCTTGGAAGGTCAGCACCGTCAAGTGTAAACACTGTAAAACCTCCAACCTTGTTAGGTTTGTTTGACTTTTCCTACCCCCACTCCTCAGGCATGTGCTCTCTGCCTTCAACTCTTAAGTTTATCTCAAGATGAACTTGGCATGACAGTTACTTCACACCCACTGCCAGGTTAAAAATAAATCTTAATATGATTACAGTGACAAATGCATTGTACTACTTCACTATCAAGTGAAGACTTGATCATTAAAAAAGAAAAACAGCTCTGGAGTTTAGCTCTTTTGTTGTTTAGCAGGCTGGTTTGCATCATCTGAAAGCTTCACGTTATCTTTCTTTCCTGTGTTTCCTCTCTGCGGGGCTTCCTCCGTTTACTCAGATGTGGAGGGGGACAGAGGGAGTGATGAAACAAAGTTTTGGTTGGCTCTTTAAGTGATAGAATCTTTCATGGTGTGATCCAAAGCCTGATGAAGCTGATGGACTTTGGATCAAGCTAGTTGAAAAACCAAATCTGTATTTGGAAAACATCCTGCAGACTCTTTGAATGCTATATCTAGAAGTTAAATAAATGCTCTTAACTACAAATTACATTCCAGTCTTATCTGCTGGTGCTTAAACCTGGCTCCCTGCTCTCCTTTGTTGTTTGGTCAGGGAAAAGCCTGGGTTGTTGATTACACTACAGACAAAACTGCTTTTCTTTTCATCGTGCAAGCAGCCTTATAACACTCAGACAAAATTCTTGTTTCATCCCATGGCTGAATACATACAGTATATTGTGTGTGCATGGGGTTTGGGGGGAAGAGAGGGAGGGGAAGAATATTATCATAATATGATGGTGCATTTTGCATGAAGCTCTCCAGAATGCCTCATTTGAGCTTTTGCCATTGTAATTTCATGTATCATTTCAGTGTTAAGCAATGCCCTAGGGTCAGGAAAACCCATAAGATGCAGCTGGTAGTTAACCTATGTGTCACTAGTCTGCACAGTGGATGTAAAACAGAACATTTCCATATGAATAACGCCATCTGTTTTTTAACTCCCTTGCATTTAGTTCTCAGCCTTCCGCCATCACAGCCATCGCCCTGTATCTTCTTTCAGTTTCTTGTCATAACTCTGCTCAGTCACAGCCTTTGTGACCCAAAGGGTCACAAAGCAAGAAAGTGTGTCTGGAGCTCACGCTGCCCAGAGCTGATGTCATGAGCGGAGAGGGCAGGGGAAGGTTGAGTTTGAGAGACCCTAAATAGTGCCAGATGCTGGACTGCTGTAAGACCTGTAGCAGCAGACCTGCTTAAATTTTTTTTAAATTTTTTTCCTTCAACCTGAGGACCCTACAGATTTTCAAACACAGGTGTGGACCCCATGCACATTTAAAATATAACTCGTTGTTGTACTGCAGGAACGTTGTTGGCCACCTTTTTCAGGATACCTATAGCTTGTGCATGTGTTACCAGGTTTCAGCAGACCTGAAACAAACTCAAAAAAAGCTATTACAGATTGTCTTTTTTTCACTGTTGCCCAAATTCAAGTGAGACATGATAATACAGCACACCACCTCATTTGTATTTTCTTTTTTGTCAGTTTAGACAGTGTTATTTTTCAAGTGAAATGCTACATTGCTAACCTGTTTTGAAAATTGTGTGTGTGTGATCAGGGAAATTACCTCATGCAATGGATACTAAGTTTCAATATGAATACAGTAATGGCCATACTGACCTGTGTGGGGCCAAGACTTTAATTCTAAGTAGTTTCATGAGGAGCAATAAGTCTCAGCACTGTCCTGTGAAGGGCTGGTTATAACATAAAAATGCTCTAAGAGCCAAGTGTAAGCAGGGTTCTCCTCCTCCTCATAAATGTTTTGAAGGTACCAATGTTTGTTTTGATCATTGTTAACATTTGAAATCTCATGTTTCCCTTATCTTGTTACAATATCTTTTTGTTAGATGCTAATTTTCCTGCATATAGAAGTGCTTCTACTTACAGTATTTTTTGTGATCCTACAGTTTTGTCCAAGAGGCACATCTTCCTAAAGGGCATTTGTAGATGACTTATGAAAACTAGCATGATTTAAACATAAGATACGATGATTGTATTAGCTGATAGAACATTTTTGCTTTTTGACCCAAATATTAGCAAGAAGATACTCAAGGCTGCCAACACCCTTGCAGATACAAGCTTTTTTCCACCCTTACTTTCCTCATATGTAGTACCACCACGTTTCTTAAGGGCATGTTATAAAAATAATGAACAACAACTATATTATGCATACAGGAGCAAGAAAGTAAAGCTCCAGTGTCAAACCAGAGGGATTAAGGCATTCCCAGGGGAGTAAGTTGAAGCCGCAGAGAAACAAAACCCAGATGGTACCTGCCTTGCCTTTGGTAATAGGGAGCAGTGCCTGGAAGGCCTGTAGAGGGAATGCAGTTGGCTGTGGTGGTGCTTTGAAGATTGCTCGCTCATGGGAAGGGGGGGTTGTGTCCTCTTTGTACTTTGCAGGATTTCCGGGACGCGGTGGCGCATGCCTCGAGGCAGCTTGGAAAGCCAGTGATTGAGGACAGAATCCTGAATCAGATCCTGTACTACCTACCTCAGCTGTACGAGCTCAATCGGGACCTCCTGAGGGAGCTGGAGGAGCGATTATCTCACTGGTGACTATTAATAAAGGGATACCACTCTTTGATGTTGAAATGTATCTGTGGGGCTTACCTGACTGTGTGACCACAGTTCGACTCTTGTGTTTCACAAGACATTCTGCCTTAAATGACAGAATTGACTTTGAAGGAACAGGAGATAATTTTCCATTTAGATGTTATTTTTGGAGTTCTGTGCATACAGAAAGGTCCAGAAGGCATGTCAATATGTGTTTTTAGCAATCACACTTTTTATTTAAAACTTCATTCCTAATTGAAAGTTCTGATCCCTGCATGGACATAAGTGGACTGATTTCATTAGAGGGGAAGGAAGTTGTCCTGAAGACCAGTTTGTATTTTAAAGGTAGTTAAGATCTACTAACCAGACACAGTGCTGATTGACAGCCGCGGTCCCATTGAAGTCCATTCTCAGTTACACTGGTGGGTGGATCTAAATCAGCTCTACAAAGCGTACTGACAGAGGCACTGAAATGGGTAAAGACTGTAATCCTGTGCTTCCTATTCAGGGATGGAGACTACATCTGGAAGTGTGAAGAGGGATCTCCTAGAAAGTCCAGCTTGTGTTAAGGTGTTCAAATGGTTTAAGACCACTTCAAGCATTTTATCCAGTGGTTGCAATCTAATACGACTGTGTTGAGGTGTGCCTGGTAAGATTTTTCAGAGTAGCTCCTGAGGTAGATGCCTATCTGCTGGACTTCAATCTTTTTGTTCAGAACATAACATGGCACATCTTACTGCGAAAAAGATCGATGTTTTGCTGTAGGGTTAAGATGTATACACTTTTGAGGTCTTTCTAATTGCTCTATTCTTGTTTCTAGGCTTGAACATCAAAGAATTGCTGACATATTTGTAAAAAAGGGTCCCTACTTAAAGATGTATTCAACTTACATCAAAGAATTTGATAAAAATGTTGCACTGTTAGATGAACAGTGTAAGAAGAATGCAGGTTTTGCTTCTGTGGTCAAGGACTTTGAGGTACTATGGTCTCTTGTAAAATACATCCTATTTTGTGGCTTTTCAGCAGCTGTGATCTATAAGGCTCTAGAGACTCCTCAAATTCATTTTTTTTTTCCCCTGCAAAGTCTTGGATTGAGACTTAGTAGAGTGGAAGTGGGAAGAAATAAATTCAGATTTTGGCTGCCACTGAGAGAGATGATAAAGGGCTCTGATTTTCAGAAAATTCAGCACTTGCTGTAAATTATATCAAAGACTCATTAACAGAACCACTAGCTGCTTTTTTTTAGTTTCATCTCCTGATTGTACTATGCACTGATTAGCTGTCCTATTTTAACCAGACTGATTACCACATCACAGGGCAGTAGCTTACTCACGGAAATGGTGTTTCATTTCACTTGGAAACATTAAAAAGTGAATTTTCTGATCTGCATATTTCTAGAAGTTTCAAACCCAGTGCATGCAGCAATCAGATGAAAGCTGATTCATTTCCCTAAGACCGTTGCCAGATTTTTACGTAATTCCCTTAAAACAAATCAGAGACAAGGTGCAAGATCCCTAAGCACATGATCCGCACAAACTGTGAATTTACCTTCTATTACATGGGTTTCCCCTTGGGTAATCCCTGCTCTGTTTGCTTCCGAGTGGTTCAAAAGGCTGCTTACAGTGGGCAAAGAGCTTGAGGTAGAGTCAGCAGACAGAAAGAGGCTGAGAGGCCTTTTTAACACCTCAGATGCACGTTATTTTGAATGCAGACTCAAGCTAATTAATGTTTTTGAAGCCTGGATCTTTCAATTCTGCATTTCCTTTAGAGGTGTGGACTAATTAAAACTTCTGCAGTGAGCACTGCTGTCTTCTCTGCCTTTCTGCTCGATCGACATTGACAGCGATGACAAAGGAGCATGCCGCCCTTGCCACTGGTGTCTCCTTTATTTCTGAGAAGCTTTGCTCTCATCCTCATAAGCAAAAGCACCTGCTTTGAATCCACAGAGAGTACGAGTGCTTATAGATGTCTTTTAAATGATGATTAATTTTGCATGCAGTCTTCCATATGGGGAAATGCTTGCTTTGGGTGCAGTGCAACACTTCCTTAGTCTCACCTTTTTAAGATAAAGCTTTATCCGATGTAAATGTTGTTGTTTGTAGGTATGTTTTCTATTGCTTGAACCCTTGGCTACCACAGAATTGTTACTTATTTTGGGTGTTTCTTTCAGATGAGCCCCCGCTGTGCAAGTTTGGCCCTCAAGCACTATCTGCTCAAGCCAGTTCAGAGGATTCCCCAGTACAGGCTCCTGCTGACAGGTACAGTCAAGCTCTTTCACAGACTTTCAGAGTCTTCACACATCCCACAAAACTCCTTTTCAGGTGGTTGTATCAATCTGTGAAGCCTGTTTATCTGACTTTAGATATGTTAAGCTTTTTAAAAAACATGGCATGTGTTTAGAGGCCTTCTTTGTTAATATTGATTGCAATAAGATACATGAGTGAGGTGCTAACATTCACAATGCTGTGGTGTGTTCTCTGATAGTAAATTCAGCAGTACTTGGAAAACATGAAACCTGTGGTGGCTTTTGCTTGTTTCTGTGGTAATAGAAGCCTGTAATTTCCTTAGAGGGTTGGAATGGTCCTGTGTTGTTTTGGTTTTTGTTTTCTTGTTTTTCAGTTTGTTTGGGTTTTTCTGTTTTGTTTTGCTTCCAAAGGAAAAAGGTAGTATGGAAAATTGGAGCTAGGAGAAGGAAGTGAAAGATAGATGTCTGTGCAACTGTGAACTTCCCCAAGTAGTTTCTCTGTTTCTCCCCTACACAGGTGTTTTGTCTGTAAAATTCATTCTCTTTTAAAGGCAAAACAGGTGTTTTTAGTGCTTAAGACTTGTTACAGGGCCATTGTAGGCTGAAGAGCTGGCTTGGGACTAGGAAATCTGGGCTCTGCGCCCTGCTCTGGCACTGTCATGTTGGGGTGACCTTGAGCACGTCATCCCTATGTGCAGTGCTTGCTTTTCTCTAAAAGGAGAGCAATGATAGGGACCTTCTTAGTGAAGTATTTTGAGATGTGTTTGTTGTAAGAGGAGGATGGCTCCTGTAAGGATTTGGAAATACTTAAGGCATTGTTTTTGAAAGCTGTTGCTTCTTGATGAGCAAGTTAAAAATAGCCTCTGTTTATGTAGTAACTGCAAAATAAAACGCTGTGACCTTTTTTTTTTTCTGGCTCTGTAGCAGCTTGTTGGCATTTCCCCAGCAAGTGCTTAGACTAGTGATGCTGTGGGAGATACAGACTTAAGTGTTATACAGCAGTTACCAAGTTATTAACATTGACTGTTTTCATTTTAATCATCTAATTAAAGTCACAGGTGTTGAAAAAAAGGGTGAAAACCCCTTATTAAATGGACTACTTTGTAGGGGAAAATCTTAGTGACTCTTAAATGATAAAATCAAACCATAAAACAGCATTTGAGGAGTTGCTTAATTTTAAAAGGATACTGACTTGAAGCATGCTATAGTCTTGCTATACACTCCAAAATCAGTGAAGCTTTGGGTAAGTTCAAAGGTTTTAAATAAAAAGTTTGAATAGAGGGTCAGGATGGATGCCTTTGTCAATATTCATAGCAAAGCGAGAGATGTCAGGGATGAATGGCACTGAAACACAAGTCAGATGTTGAAGGGGAGTTCCTCGTGACCATTAACTGTCATTGTGGCTGGGACAGGCTGTTTCAGACCTGAAAAACCTCATTCTGTGGTGGTGGGGGTTGCTGTGGTTGTCTTCAGTCTGCAGACCTCACTGTGGCTGCCCAGCTTTAAATACACCTGCAAATGCAAATGCTATTGACAGGAACGGGATTGCGATGCTGGCTGCCGATTTAGAAAAGCAATCTTTTCTTGTTCTCTGAGAGCGGTAAAAGAGGTCAGACTAAGAATTTAATTATGCTGGGGCTGGGTGGTGTTATTTTGGATGTTTCACTCTCAATCTGTTCAATTTATCATGCATCTCCGTCTTCCTTGAGATTCTCACTCTTCCATCTCTCTGTGGATGACCCGTCCGCTCTGTCACCTTCCAGCAGCTCCCTGTAATATTGAGCAATCTCTATCTAAACTTGTGCGGCAAAACAATTGGAGGACGTGTGAAATACTTGGATCTCTTGTTGCAGTGGGTGAGATGCAGCGATGCAGCAGCTGCCCCAGCCGAAGACAGGGGGGAACTGTGGGCGAGAGAGGAGGGGGCAGTGGGTAAGAGCAGGGGAGCGAAAATAATCCAGGAAATGAAGCTGCTAGGCCTGAGTCAGCAGGGATTTCTTCCTATTTAGATGTTCTGTGTCAGTGGGACAGCTTTGTACTGGTAACCTGCTGCTACATGGTCACAACACAAGATTGTTGCTGTGCTTTGAAGTGGAGTTACTTTTGTGCTCACAAAAGCAGGAGCAGGTGGGCTCATAAATCAGCCAAGGAAAGGTGCAGCTCAGCTGTGTTTCTGATTAATTATACGGCTTCTCCAGTCCAGCAAGTGAACTTCCACTTGTCCACATACTGGCTCCAAGCTCTTTACAGCAAATACTAGGTGGGTTTTGGAGGAGGTTAATTAGAGGCCTCTGATTTCTAATAGAAATGAGGAAGAGGTGATTCTTTCCTCTCAAAAAACTCTGATTTGAGTAGATGACTTGAGACTGTACAATGTGAGCGGGCTCTTCGCTGTACAGGATAAGCCTCTCCTCTTTTTCTCAACAGAAGGTTTGCAGAGAGAGAGTCTTTTATTATCCTTAACTGGAGTATGGTGAGAGGAGGCTGAGGGGGAGAAAAATAAGCCTTTGAGTATGCTGCTCCTGTTGCAGGTCAGAAATAGAGTTGTCAGACGTGAGGCAAATTACGTGTTGGGGAATGATTGCTTTGAGTTTAACTTAATTAAAGTAGACAACCTGAGATAAAAAAGCAGTTAATGAAGCAGAAGAGAATTTTTAGCAGGAGAAGAAGTGATAGTCGCTGCCTTCCTGCAAGAAGGAAGAAAGATTTGCTGGCTGCCGTCAGGTAGAAGCAGGGCAGAAGGAAATTTTGTTCCTCACGGAAACAGTATTTGTGTGCTTTTGTGTGATTTTCGTTGTGTTTTGGGGTATGCAGGAGAGTCATGGATTTTAATTTCTAAGTCTGCCTTTCTGAAGGTATGCTTACAGTCTTCCTAGTCTAAACAACTAAAGCACATTTCAGAGGGGAAAGTTTTTTTGGCAGACAGTAGATACCATTCCACCTTAATATTTGACTTCTGTATTTATTTTACCTGGGAATATTTTTGCTAAATTTTTACTGTAACACTATTCATGTCTCTGAAATCTGCTTGTCTGTATAGTTTAAGCCAATACCTCCAGAAAGTTGTTTCAAGCACAGATTTTCCAGTGTGTATTCACAGAAGAGACTAAAAATATCTGTTCTGATGCCTCTCTGAAGTTGAGCTTTAGCTATGAACTGAGGTCCACTTACCATATGTACATAGAGAGTATTAAGATGAAAATTACCTATTTATCACTTTCAGGATTTTACAGTTGCAAGTTTTATTGGCTGCTTCAGTCTTGTAATGCAAAAGCTGCCTTCCTTTTTAAAAACGTAATTTTAAATGAATGCGATTACATTAAAATCTGTAATTTGCCCTCTTCTATTCACTGATGACGTGATATAAAATGCTAGAATACAGCCATCCAAAAAATGTTTTTGAGTGATGTGAGGTGTTGTTTTGGGGAACACGTCATAAAGCATGAATATGCCAAGAAGGAGTTAGTTGCCATGTTGGGTCTCTGGTTTTAAGTTTCCAGTGCGTTTACTTTGGATATTAAATTGGATGTCTCTGTGTGCTAGGGACAATTTCTCAGAGTGCCAGCAGAGCATTTGCAGATGAGTAGATGATACCCGCCTCACCTCTTGTTCCCAGCCCATAGAGGTGAGTGTGTGGTTGGCAGCTTTAAGCAGCTCGTATTTCTGTATAAGCTGTAAGGACTCATCCTTTATACTAGGAGCTTCCCACTGAAGTTCTTTGTGCTGGTCCTGATGATGAACATCAAGTTGTACAGCTTTAACTTGTCTGCTGTATGATGGAGTCCCAAGAGTGCCTGGCCAGTATGACACAGTTCTGACTTCAGAGAGCCCCCATCCAAGGGCAGGGCAGAAGAGGGCAGCTGGTGTCCTATGTGTGACACAGGTTCCTTAGGTTAAACCAAGTTAAAAACAATGTGAACTCTTCTCAGTTCCT